AACCACTAATATACTCACGTAATTTTATTCCGTGATTTTAGGCAACGAATCAGTAATCTCATATCACGTAGTTAAGGAAATAAATGCCGTTCAAAAATAAAGCAGGGGTATTAAAGGGAAATTAAATAATATATTGTGCCAAGTTGGCATATTTGGGTGTATATAAAAAAGGGAAAAATTATTTGGATCTACCTCATTAGAAAATATGAACAATGGGGTTATCCCTAATAAACCCTTTTTAATATATATATATATATATATATATATATATATATATATATATTCGATCTGATTTTCATTTTAAAAAATTGCACTAATTATAACTATTCAAAATCTACCAATTCCAATCTGTAAACTTTTTGATACTGAAACAATTTTTTTTATTACAATTTTGGAATCTTGATATCAAATTTTTGGAACGAAAATTGTAATTTGTTTTTCACTCTCCTATTTCTTTTTTTTTTCTTTTTTCCTCTATTATTTAGTTCTCGAATAAACTTTTCATTTATTACTTTTTTTTCTTCTTCTTTGTTTCTATCAGCCATCTTTGTTTTTTTTTTCTTATAAAGAAAAAAAAAGATTAACAAAACATGTGTATCAATAATTTATTTGCTTTTGTCGTTAATTTATCAATAAACGGCGGATATAATATGCAAACCCATTTTTTTATTAGTTCAAACTTACATAAATGAATTTATTAGTTCAAGCCCGTAAATTAATTTAATTTTATTACATCAAGACTAAACATGACAAATATACCCTTATCAATAAATAATACTCAAATACAAACAAACTCTATTTTTAATTTGTTCAAGACCAAAAAATAAAAAATTAAAAATTAAAAAAAAAACAAAAAAAAAATAGAGAAAAATATGGAAAAAACTCACAACTGCCGCCACCAGACCGCCGAGACACCGACAAGCGAGACTTCCACCGTACCGGCGACAACCAGCGACCCACCTACCGCACCACCTCCACCGCACCATCACCACCACCCCACCACCACCAACAAGTCATTTTTACTAAACTTTTGTTTGTCAATTCAAAAACATTAATCAAGCATCGATTCTTGATAAATATGCGTGGATGAACATTAATCTATACTTACTTCTTGTAGTGTTGCAATGCGTTAACCGATTTTGGAAAAAAAATTGAGATTGAAATTGATTTTTTTGTGTGTTTTCGTTGGTTTCCCAAATCGGTTTGTCCAGACCGATTTTGTACACGAAAATCGGCGTCACAATGCCGATTTTTGTTAATCAAATCGGCGACACAACGCCGACTTTACAAGTCAAAATCGGCGTTGTAATGCCGATTTTGTTTTGTTTTCTTTTTTTTTTTCTTTTTTTTATGATTTATGTTACTCATTTGGTTTTGAATTTCATTAAGGGTAAATTAGTATTTCTATGTTGGAGGTTTTGAACTAATAAAAAAATGGGGTAATGTGCTAGGAGCCCCTCAAATAAAACTTAATTTGAACTAAATAACAAGTTCAAACCCAATTTTTTAATTAAATCCTTAATTTGAAACAATATATGATATACATCTTTAATTATTGTTTTATCCCTAAATTACCCTTATAACCTAAATCTTTTAATTTACATATTCATTTACTTTTTTTAATTAAATTTATTTCTATTATTTATTTTCCCTCATTCTCTCTCTATCCCCTCCCTCTGTCGTCTCTTTCTTTCTCTATTTTCCTCTCCCTCTCTCTCCATCGCAGCTTTCTTTCTCTCTCTGTTTTTTTTTTCTCTTTTTCTCTCCCTCTCTGTATCCCTCTAGACTAGTCTTTTGTTTGGAGAAGCAAACGGGGGCGGCGGCGGACGAGAAGGCGGCGGCGGAGTGCGCGGAACTGAATCTTAAGGCGGCGGCTACGGTGAATCTATGGTGAAGGCGCCGACGAAGTGGGTAGCGGTGGCGCGTCGGATCTATGGTGGCGGCGGTGGATCTGAAGCGGCAATGGAGTGCGTAGCGGAGGCGGCTTCGAGGGTGACGTGGCCCAGCGGCGACACTCGGAGTTCGAGAATGGTGTTGGTGGTGCGGTGATTCTGGAGTAGGTGATGGCAGCGTGGGTGGGGTGGGCGGTAACCTTAGAGGCGTGGATGGGGGTGGGTGACCTTTGGCGTCACAAATCTAGGGTTTGGTGGGTGGATCTAGGGTTTGGTGGTATGAATCCAAGATTTTTCGATTTGATGTCTATGGGTTACTATGGGTGTCTGGCGGCTAGGGTTTAAAAGGAGAAGCTAGAGTTTCAAAATATGCTATCACAGATGTCTATGGATTACTACGGGTTACTACGGTTACTACGGATTACTACAGTTTTCTATGGATGTCTATACATGACTGAGACCGATTTTTTTTTTTTAAATTCATAATTTTCAATATTACGTAGAAAATAATGGAAAAAAATAGATTGCTGGGGTAAATTACAAACACCCCCCTGAGGTATGGTCAAATTACAAAAACCCCCATCTTGTTTGGATAATTACATCTACCCCTCAACTATGATTCTTTCTTACACCTCCACCTCTATGGTGCCAAATTCAACATAATCATCTAGATTCCGTGAAATTTGCTCTAGTTTGTACTCATTTTGTGTAAAAATACAGTTTTCGATGTACCAAAAACTGATATATAGAAGCTAAAAATCACATATTATGATCATCTTGCTTCATAATGTAGAGTTTGAATGAGATAAAACGGGTACAAAAGTGATAATATTCCATATAATCTCGAAGATTTCACTAAATTTGAGGAGTTGAGGGGGTGGTTGTAATTATCCAAACAAGAGGGGTGTTTTTTAAATTTGACCATACCTCAGGGGGTGTTTGTAATTTACCCTAGCTAGATTCCTAATAAGATTACGATTTGTGCAGTATTTAAGCTAATGTCCGGGCAAAATTAGGAGCAAAGCTTTTGTTGATGCACCACCATCTTTCCGATTCCACTTGGCGCGCAAAAGCTGGGTTCTTTTCACAGTATCCTCCAAAACTCAGTCACTCAGTCGATTCAACTTGGCCGCCGGCGAACGATCTCTCCCGCCTCTTACAGGGCCGCATCCCACGCGCTCACCTCCTCCAACTCCACGCTCGCATTTTCCACCTCAATGAGCAATCTGATTGCCACTCGTCTCATCGGCCACTACCATTCGAATTTCGCCGTCAGGGTCTTCCGTTTACTGAAATCGGCTTTCGTGTCTGATTCTTTCGTTTGCAATGGCTTGCTTATGGTTTATGCCAAGGTGGTTAGGGATTTGAGGTCAGCACGCCAGGTGTTTGATGATATGCCTGACAGAAATTTGGTTTTTTGCTGGACTTGTTTGATTTCTGGATATGCTAAACTCGGATCATCCGAAGACGCCCTCAATTTATTTACGACGATGCTCGACAAAAATCTGCTGCCTGAAAGTGATACCATGGGTAGTGTTTTATCTGCGTGTTTTGTGATCTTTTGCTAATGAATGAAGGTAATGATATGTAGAGATGTTCGGACACGAGAAGTGGGAAAAAACATGTACTATCATCATCCAACGTAAATCTCGCATCTGCGTTGATAGATATGTACTCGAAATGCGGGAATTTGGATGCTGCGAGAGAAGTTTTCGCCGAGAACTTTCCTCGGTGCCTTATCTGCGTGTAGTCACTCGGGGCTATTAGATAAAGGGTGTGAAATTTTCGACGAAATGAATCGAAAAGATTCTCTAATTTCGCCCAAGTTGGAGCATTATTCGTGCTATATCGATCTTTTAGCTCGGTCGGGTTATATATGCAGCGAATTAATATTCTACTTAACAAAATCAGGACATCCACCACAATATAAAGCCAGAACAAGTTCAGCTTGTTCGCCGCGATTACACTGCAAATGAGGGCTGGGAAACGTTTCTTTCGTATGAAGACACACACCAGGTGTGTTTTTTTACATACTTATTTCTTCCTCCACTTATTACCTCTGCCTTTTGCACTGATGTAGTAAAAGAGAACTGCGAATTAAACTCATGGAAATAAATAAAATCATTGAATGGGGCGGCATATTAGACTTGACCTCCGTTTATAAGTGATTTCATTTGTTATATTTTTTATGTGCTCTACTTCGTTTACAGGACATATTTGTTTAGCGTAATCGAATTGTTGGATGAATATATTTAGATTTATATATGAAATGAACATATAATTATTTCATGATTTTTGCTTGGGCTTAAATTTTATTTTCATCATTGTGCTTTGGGGCGGGATCACTTTACCATGTTCTACTCGATCATATCGATTTACCCTTGAATTTGTAAAATTGTTCAAATGTGGCTCCGACTTTAGTTTACGGCTTTCAACCGGAACACTGAAAGTGTTTGGTCAAGCTGTAGAAATTACCAAATGCCCGCCCGTCTCCTATTTCAGTTATCTTTCATTCGGCCCCACTCAACTCATTCCCCTCTGGCATCAAATCCCCAAAGTCGAAGCCTAAGCCCTAACAAAAACACTCATCAATTCGATTTTTGTTACTCAAAAAAAAAAAATAATAAAAATTCGATTTTTGTTACTGCGTAGTTTAGAGTTACAATGCTGGTGCTCAACGTGTCTATTTTCCTGTCGATTTTGTCATGCCATTAACCTTTTTAATTAACTTGGATGGAAAAACACACACACACACACGTGCATGGCACATGATAGTGATTCACTCCTCAGTTAAAATAATATGTTTGCCCTAATTACACATTCATTCATTCCCTTATATTTTCAGAAATTATTGGTAGTTTCAAGATAGATATATATATATATATATATATATATATATATATATATATATATATATATATATATATATTAAACAATAAAACAGATGCAATCAAGAAAAAAACAAATTCTTGATTAATTTCAAACATAATTGCTTACAGTAGAGACCGGAAATAATGGTCGAAAAAAAATATCAAGCTGCATTGAATAATTGATCCGAATCGAAAATTAAGAACTAGAACTAATTTCTCCTAACTCCATCCGAATCTTTCAACGTAATGTCATCGATATCGATATCGAAATCGAACTCTATATTATCCAAATCAATCTTCTGCATCTTGGAAAACGCATCACGATCTTCTTCGATTCCTTCGTCTTCTGCTAATCTTCGGCTGCTTCTTTGTCTTTTCCTTTTAGTTTTCCTTTGGAAACATCCAAGTGATTCTACAAATTGCGTAATCTTTAAACTTCAACTCAAAATTAAACAATAAATCAGATGCAATCAAGGAAAAACACACACACACACACACACACACACACACACACACACACGTACATGGCACATGATAGTGATTTCACCCCTTCTGAGTTAAAATAATATGTCTGCCCTAATTACACATTCATTCATTCCCTTATTTTTCAGAAATTATTGGAAGTTTCAAGTTATCTTATATATATATATATATATATATATATATATATATATATATATATATATATATATATCTTTTGATGATGCTAATCAGATGCAATCAAGGAAAAAACAAATTCTTGATGATTAATTTCAAACATAATTGCTTACAATAGAGACCGGAAATAATGGTCGAAAAAAAAATATCAAGCTGCATTGAATAATTGATACAAATCGAAAATTAAGAACTAGAACTAATTTCTCCTAACTCCATCCGATATCAAGCTTCTTTGTCTTTTCCTTTTAGTTTTCCTTTGGAAACATCCTAGTGATTCTACAAATTGCGTAATCTTTAAACTTCAACTCAAAATTCAAACAAACCCCGGCCAATGAAAACTCTTGCATAATCCAGTGACCGTGTTCTTCTTCGCCGCTCCGGCCTTTAGGTTTATTCTTGTAAAAAGTGAACATCTTGGACAAGCCGATTAAATTTCCCGATGACTCATCGTAAATTTCTTTGCCACTCGTTTGTCCCTTCCAAGTACCCGATTTTGTTCTTCTGGCGATACGAGTCTTGCCATTAACTCGTAATAACTTGGTAAGAACGTACGTGACGTGCTTGAATTTCGTTTCGGAATGAAAATCTTCCCAATGAACGTCTTGAAGAACTTCCCATGGATCTGTTGTTTCGCCGTAAATCTCTTTTTCCGACATCCAATTCCATGGCAGTGGAATCCCCATTGATACTTTCAACAAGTAGCAATTAATCAGCTCTTCGTCCGACGGTACAACACCTGGAGCAATCCTCATTCTTCTCTCTCGTTCTTAATTCTCTCTCTTTCTCTCTCTCGTTGTTCTTCTCTCTCTTTCTGTCTCCTTTTTATCTTTCTCTCTCTCGTATTTTGTTTATTTATACAGGAACGGAATATGTATACATATAATATCTAGGGCAAATGGCAAAAAGGCCCATCACATGGGACTTAAATACATTTTGGTCCACAAAAAAAACAGTCTCTCAATTAAGCCCATCCCCATGTCTTTAGTCTAAAATACCCTCAATAATATAATTCTTATCAATTCCACCCATTATGCTCTAACTTCCTTAATATTACACATTGACCCCAGATTTTAACAAATATATCACATTAACCCCCAAAACTTTTTTATATCAGAAAATAATTTTTTTTCTGAAATATTTTTTTTCTGGCCAGATTCCGGCGTTGACTTTTTTTTTTGAATTTTTTTTTCTTAGAAGAAAAAAATATTTTAATTAATATTACTGTTTTAGCTACTAAATTACTATCTCAGACAGTAATACTACTGTTTGGGACAGTAATATTATGAATATTATTTTTCCGAACAGTAATATTATGAATATTATTTTTCCGAACAGTAATATTATTAATATTATTTTTTCCGAACAGTAATATTATTAATATTGTTGTGTAAGACAGTTAAATTACTGTTGAAGACAGTAATTTAGCATCTAAGGCAGTATTATTGATTAAAATATTTTTTTTTAAGAAAAAAAATGAAAAAAATTCAATTAACAGTTAAATTACTGTCTCCGACAGTTAAATAACTGCTGGAGACAGTAATTTAGCAAACGAATACAGTAATATTAATTAAAAATATTTTTTTAAGAATAAAAAAGTCAATTAACAGTTAAATCACTGTCTCCAACAGTTAAATAACTGCTGGAGACATTAATTTAGCAACGAATACAGTAATATTAATTAAAATATTTTGAAGAAAAAAAAAAGTCAATTAACAGCTAAATTACTGTCTCCGGCAGTTAAATAACTGCCGGAGACAGTAATTTAGCAGCCAAGACAGTAATATTAATTAAACAAAAAAATTTAAGAAAAAAAAAAGTCAACGGCGGTCTCCGGCGGTCAACGCCGGAATCTGGCCGAAAAAAAACATTTCAAAACAAAAAATATTTTCTGAAAAAAAAAAAAATTGGGGGGTTAATGTGATACATTTGTTTAAATCCGGGGTCAATGTGTCATATTAAGGAAGTTAGAGCACAATGGTTGGAATTGATAAGAATTAGGATTAAAATTGGGGTCAAAATTGAAATTAGGGTTAAAATTGGTTAATTGATGAAATTGGGCTAAATTGGGGTATAAATCATGAAATTTGAGTTGAATTGGGTTTCAATGAATTGGGGTAATTTTGGTATATATAAAAGGATTTTCCTTATTTGCAAATAAGTTTGAATGGGGTGGATTTATTGAAAGAAAAAAAATTGGATGTCCCTTTTTTAATTAAGTGTCCTTGTCATGGGCCTATTTGCCATTACCCCTAATATATATAGTGTTTTATGTTCATAAACATCTCCTTCAACACGGTAATGCAGCAGCAGTAGGACTCTCCCTCTTAGTATTTTTTTTTTCTGTAACGTATATTTAATATGGCGAATGGCAAAAAGGCTCATCACATGGGACTTAAATGCTTTTTGGTCTACAAAAAAAACAGTCTCTCCATTAAACCCATCCCCATGTCTTTAGTCTAAAATACCCTCTATAATATAATTCTTATCAACTCCACCCATTATGCTCTAACTTCCTTAATATTACACAATGATCCCGGATTTAAACAAATATATCACATTAACCCCCAATTTCTTTTTTTTCAGAAAATATTTTTTTTTTCTGAAATATTTTTTCCGGCCAGATTCGGCGTTGACTTTATTTTTTTATTTTTATATTTTCTGAAAAACTTTGTTTTTTCCTGAAATTTTTTTCCGGCCGGTCTCCGACGTTGACTTTGTTTTTTTGTTTTTGAAATTTTTTTTTCTTAGAAAAAAATATTTGAATTAACATTACTATGTTGGCTACTAAATTACTGTCTCAGACAGTAATATTACTGTTTGGGACAGTAATATTATGAATATTATTTTCCCTAACAGTAATATTATTAATATTATTGTCTAAGACAGTTAAATTACTGTTGGAGACAGTAAAAATAATTAATTGGTGACCAAATAATTGAAAAGAAAGAGTGAACAAATTGATAACAAAAGTATTTCAAGTTAATTTTTATTTTATTTTATTAAGTTATTTAAATTATTTTGTTTCAAATCAATGAAATCTTCATTATGCCTGTTAGGGAACCTGGAAACTTCCTGAAAATAAGGCTACAAAGAAATGGTTCAATGAGGCTGCGAATGGTCGTTGGAAAGATGTAAAACCCTAAAGGATTGAAGGTAATTTTTGATAGAACGCCAGACCTTGCAACTGCTAAGGCAAATCGTCCAAATATGATCAATGCTCAAACTTAGGAGAAACTATTCATTCTATTTCTACTCCTGGGGTTGATGGGAATGTAAATTCTATACTTTTAATTTATGGATCATATTTATATATATTAAATTGTATTAATTTATGTGTAATTTTTCACAATTGAAATCAAATAAATGCAATGACTTGCGAAAGAAAGTCTCGACAAACCACCATTGAGGTCGAACAAGTATCAATAGTTGTTCTTACAGTCATGTAAGTGATTTGATCTATAATTTAATTTATTTAAGTTTAAAATACCTACTTACTTTATAATCTATTATTATTGTTTAAAAAAATTGGCAAAAGTCCTACGGTGTTTGATACGTATAAGAAAGCCTACATGGACAATGATGTGTCGAGGGGAATCGGACCAACTATTAGTGAGGAGGGAGATACAGAGAATCGCTTAATGGGACAACAACTCCCGAACAACTCCACATTTCAGTAAGTGTAATGCAATTTTATTGTTCAAATGGTAGTAAGCTAAATATTTATGTTTATTGTTGTTGTGTTTAGTTGGGATCTATGGATATGGATACGTTTCTAATCTATGGATATGGATATGCTGTTGTGGTTTATTAATATGAATATTTTAGCTTATCATATGCGATTTACGTTTGATATATTAAACTAGTACGTAGTTGAGATGTGTGGATATGGATATTGTTTTGAATATGTTAAGATGTTGTGTACATACATTTTTTTTTTTGATATTCTTTCTCTATTTGTTATTACGATATAAAATACAACTACTAAAATATATATATTTTTACTTCAAAATTATAAATATATACTTATTTTAGCAATATTTTGTGAATAACCCGAAAAAAAAATTCAAGCGCGCTGCCCTGAAATCCCCAAAATTATAACCTTCCGTGAATGCTATAGAGAGAAATCCACCGGGGTAAAAATACTATAGATGCAAGATACAAAAGAGGAGTGAATGCTTTCGTTTTTGCCATTTTTCACCTGTGAATTTTTAATTAACCCACTTCATTTGTCGACTTTATGTGATTGAATATGTCTTTCAACATGAGTTTGAGATAAGATATCAAACCTATGAATTATTTAAAAAAAGGTTTCAGTAGGTATCTCCGAAGTAGATGGCGGTTGATAGAGGAATCTTTGATCATAATTTCCAGTATTCATACTGCGTCCAACATGAAACTTGTGATTGGTCGTAAAACACCGACTTGCTTCTTGAGACCGAATTCTATCTTCATAGATTTCTCGAGATATTTTTTTACGGTTATCAACCCACCCTGAGTACCGAAATGGGCTCTTTACAAGAAAGAATTACCTCTACCAAAGAGGGGTCCATAACGTCTATTCAAGCAGTTTATGTACCTGCAGACGATTTGACCGATCCTACCCCTGCTACGACATTTGCACATTTAGATGCTACTACCGTACTATCAAGAGAATTAGCTGCCAAAGGTATTTATCCAGCATCCAGGTTGGATTTTTTAGATCAAATAGGACTAGTTGGGTAGATAGAGGTGGTCAAATCTAACATTTCCATCGATGTTTAGTAGGGCGGGTCGCTTGAGTGTCAAAACCAAGCGGTGGTTGTTTTTCCTTGGCTCATCATTGATCTCGTGGAAAAGCAAGAAAGAAGAAACTGTATCCAAGTCCAACACAGAAGCCGATGCTAACCGTTTTTGGTCCCAAATCTTTGGGGTTGCTTTTTCCAATAAATGTTGGTTACATTTCTTTATGTTATTTGTACCATTAACCGGTTTATGGATGAGTGCTCTTGGAGTAGTCGGCTTGGCCCTGAACTTACGTGCCTATGACTTCGTTTCTCAGGAAATTCGCGCAGCGGAAGATCCGGAATTTGAGACTTTCTACACCAAAAATATTCTATTAAACGATGGTATTCGTGCATGGATGGCGGCTCAAGATCAGCCTCATGAAAACCTTATATTCCATGAGGATGTTCTACCAGGTGGAAACGCTCTTTAATGGATTTATAGAAGGATCCCTTCCTTAATGAAACTTAGTGGAACCGCTTGGTCCAAGCCTGAGATCTTCAGAACTAGCGGATGGATGGTAAATCCCCCGCATACTTAAAGAAAGAACCAATGCAGGAGCTGGCTTTCCAACACACTGGACCTTAGTTGTTCTCAGCTGGGGTTATAGCGACTTATAGCCTGAAGAGTCATGCATGAAATCATGGAGTTGGGCGTAGATCGAACCACGCTTCGCTTCATACATTGGTGTTGAATCGACCTATCGGAAGCGCCTTCCAAACCTGCTCGTCTCGTCAGCAGCCTTATCCGGCCAGCTTTCACTTACCCATAAATCCTTGTAAGGTGGTAATAGAGCTATGCTTAACTAATGAAGAGAGCAATTTCTGATCCCTGCTGAGATAATGAAGTCCACAATTCTATCCTCCAGGAATCTTCCTCATCCTGTTGGTGAGAAGGGCTATTTCGGATAGTCAAGTATCACCTCGATAAATTAATAGTCCCGTTTAAATTAATAATAATTTATTTCGGTCCCGACTCGGAAAAAAATGTAGTAAATTAATATTTCGATAAATCAATAGAGTTTCGCTAGTCCGACTGCATTAATTTATTGAGGTTTAA